GCTCTAAGTCCTCCTCTGATGCCCTGCCGGCACTGCTTCCGGCCATCCTTAAGTCTGGTTCAGGGTCCACTTAATGTGGACATGCTAGTTCGAATTAGCAAAACGCTAATTCAAACTAGTTTTTTAGTCTGGATCCGTTAGTTCAAATTAACTAATTCGAACTAAGTTAGTTCCCTAACATAGTTTGTACCCTATGTCATTAACTAGAAAAGGTCTGCAACTCTAAGAAAGTAGGAATAACTATCCAGCATGAGACCAAAGGTCCATCTAGCCCAGTATCCTGTCTTCGAACAGCACCCAATGCCAGGTGCCCCAGATGGAATGAATAGAAGGCTTATTAGAAAACAGGAAGGCTACGTCTACACTGGCATGATTTTCCACAAATGCTTTTAACAGAAAAGTTTTTCCGTTAAAAGCATTTGCGGAAACAAGCATCTAGATTGGCATGGACGCTTTTCCGCAAAAGCACTTTTTGTGGAAAAGCGTCCGTGCCAATCTAGACGCGCTTTTGCGCAAAAAAGCCCCGATTGCCATTTTCGCGATTGGTTTTTTTTTTGCGCAAAACAAATTTGAGTTGTCTGCACTGGCCCTTTTGCGCAAAAGAACTTTTGCCTGAACGGGAGCAGCATAGTATTTCTGCAAGAAGCATTGATTTCTTACATGAGATCGTCAATGTTCTTGCAGAAATTCAAGCAGCCAGTGTAGACAGCTGGCAGGTTTTTCCACAAAAGCAGGTGCTTTTGCGGAAAAACTTGCCAGTCTAGACACAGCCGAAGAGTCCTGTGTCAGGGCACTATAGCTTGTTTCGGGAGATCAAGCAGTTCACGGAAGCTCAGGTGACCTTGGGAGAACAAGGATGCACATTGTCTTCTTCATTAATCCATGTACAAGTTCATGATAGTCATTTTCCTTCATTGTGGAAGCTTCTAGCATCCCACAGTCAAAGACTCCACTTTTTCTATTAAATGCAAAATTATTGTATTTCCAACTATTGCTCAGTGCCTTAGAACATATGGCTAAGTGCTATTCTCCAATAGCCGTGTTCCTGTTTCCGATACAGTGGTCTGTGAAGATAAGACTTCATTGTGCAAGGTATACGATCACTTTTTACTCTCATTAATTTGTGAGATGAAAAATAAACGGCCTCTGCCTAGCTCCACATTTTTTTAGCGTATGTAATGAAGTAGCATGAAGCCACCTCTTTCTTCCTCACTCAGCTTACGGGTGCTTAGTGGAAATTTCTCTCTTGCTAAAATGCATCTTTTCTCTCAGCATCTGGCCAGGTGCCTTCTTGTCATAGAGGATGCCTTTTAGTCTGCCAGAGGGAGTTAACCCATTTGAGGTGGAGCTAGGAACATAGAGAGGACTTGTGGTTTGAGTCCTCTGCTACAGTTGGCCAAGCATGTGTTAAAACAGCAAGCTAGTCTCTGAACTGTTTACTCAGTTTCCTGGTGCTCCACAGAGGTACACTAAATTTGAGATGGTGGGGGCTGGTAACCACGATTTGAAATACATTCCTAGGCCCTATGATAGCATAGTCTCAGCATCAGACTGTCAAACAACCTATCAACTGCTTTAGCAACACAACAATACTGGTGTTGTGCAGTAGTGGGGTAATGTACTGCACTTTACAAAAGGATCAGGAAAATGTTAAGGGACATTAATATTCTGTGGGAGTTTCATCAGGAGCTCTCTCAATGAGGAAAAAAAACAAGATCATTTTACACATACACAAGAGCTTCTCTTTTTCCTGAAAGATTTCAAAGTGCTTTAGAGATAGCGAGCCAGCAGGCATCTGATCAGTCAGTCAAACCTTTGGACTCCTGGACATTCCAGACAGAGCTGTTGACATTTATTTCTCTCTCTCTGCCCTGTGTTCATTGACTGTTTGCTCCGACCCTACCTTCCCCTCTCCGCTCCCTCCAGTCTCTTTACTATAAATTCATTCCATACTTGTCCCCTCCCTTCCCTTTAACTGATCTCTTCCTAAGTACACCCCACCACCCTTCAAAGAGGAAACAAAATTGTGGACCTAACATGCCATTTACCACTGCTCCATGTTCACTCTGTGTGTTCTATACCTCTTGCTCCCAGTGTCTCGCTTGGCTATTTAGACAATATTGTCTCCTTGTACTCTGCCTTCTGTCTGTTCCATCTATTGTTGTCTTTTGTCTTGTACTTAGATTGTAAGCTCTCTGGAAAGGGAGTTTTTTGACCTGTTAGTACAGCGCCTAGCACAACGGGGCCCTGGTTCATGATGCGGATGCTTAGGGTCTACAATGACAAAAAGAATAATAAAAATGAATCACCTCAGGAGTGGGAGAAAAGCAACACAAATCCTGATGCATAACAAAAAAGGTTGGGGAATATTAGGGCATCGCAGATCCACATAATCTATGCTATGTCCCAGTTTTTAAACAGTCCCTCGGAGAAAAGTGTGCCAGATGCCCCAGAGATCCCATGTGTTATTAAGGGTAGATCATATGGTTGCAACATTTCTGCGACTGAACCTCTTGGTGCCAACTCTCCTGCTTCATACCCATGAGCTCTGCTTAGCAAGTGCAACTGAGAGAGTCTGATCAGGAGTCTTTACACACTTCGGGGACCAGATCAACAAGTAGCAGCCATGACACTAGGTAGCCTTTTTAAAATTGGAGAATTTCTTCAACAGGAACAGAGCAGTGTTATTCCCCCCTGAAAACTGCTGGCCCTCCCAAAAGCCAACTCTCCTTCCAGCCAACGTAGGCATTTCAGTCCATTGTCCAACACTTGCAGGCCCTTCCTGAGTTCACATATCCCACCTGGCAGAGATTTCCATGGATAAGTATGAATTGTTCAGTCCTTGGGTTTCCCATTGTCTCTGGTCCCTCCTCTGACATGGGACTATTTCAGTCAGTTTTTAGCACCACATTCATTCCACCCCCACACTGTGTGACACCTCCTCATGTTTCATGCTCTGTCCTACAAGCAGCTTTTTAATGCTTCTGCACTCACTACAGTGCAAAGTACAGAGGGAGGCCAAGGCACATGATGGAACAATAAAATACACTACAGCAAATGCCCACTTTATTAAGTAGCACAATCACCTACAAAAAATGGGCCATGTGAAGCTGTAATATTCATGCAGAGCAGGTTGGTCCAAGATCCCCTCTGAAATAGCCAGCCAGAATAAACAGCATGGGACCAACAGAAGATACAGAATCAATGTGGCCAAATATGTGATACAAATGAAAGGGAGCCAATAATGATTTGTTTCCCCTAACTCAACTGCCTGTTCTCCCACCACGTCCCGCTCACCTGCAGAAACACAGTGATTATGAAATTATTTTAATTCTGCTTGTGCTGTATCATCTCACAGATTGGTCAGTCCCAGAGGTACCAAACAGCAGCATGAACATTGTCTCTTGAGATTAGCAGGCACTTACCTGTGTGAAAGAAGCAGAAACAATAAGCCATGCTCTGGAAGCTCATGATGAGGTCTGTGTGTATGCAGTGCCTTCAGAATTCCAGCAATCACTACTTTTATGGAGCACACTTTTCACTCTGCCCCTCTCCAGACCACGCCCTGTTGGAAACCAAGATTCTCACATGGCCACGTGTGCACTGCAAAACAACAGTTACTCTCAGTCACTCCACCACACAGTCTGTTCTAAACAGAGAGGAAAATCTGCATCCGTTTACATGAATTGCAGTCTTCAAACAGAAAGCCAAACTCCAAGCACAAAATACCTGGGACAGTGGAGATTGTGACCTGTCATTGTTTTAGCACCACCTGCTGGGTCAAATTGGTAATAACATGTTAACAATTTCCCTTGCAACAAACCCTGTCGCCAACTTTGTCCACATATCTACTCTGGTGACACCATCACTGGACCTAACCATGTCAGTTATATGATCAAGGACTCATCTTCCTGTTCATCCAGCACACAAACATGATTTGTGATTTATGCCATCATGTGTCAGCAGTGTCCCTCTGCAATGTATATTGGCCAGACTGCTCAGGCACTTCGCCAAAGAATCAATGCTCACAAATCAGACATCCGACATCTTCACAAAGAAAAACTTGTTAGTCCACATTTTAATCTACCTGGGCATTCCCTTGAAGGCCTCACAATGTGCATCTTACTTCAAAGAGACTAACACAGATTACAGAAACTTCAGAACTTTCATTCATGCTTACATTGGACACGGTACGAATGGACCTTAATAAAGATGCTAGTTACCTTACATATTACAAATACAGCTTCTCCACTTATTGATAATCCTAGTAACTTCAGATTAGCCACTCATTGACTTAAAATAAACTATTTCCTCCTTCCCTCTCTCTACCTTCTGTTCTAAAATCTGATTTGTTAGTTTATAATGTATTCACTTTCTTCATTGTATTCCTTTGTTATATATGGTCATGCCAGTTCTCTTTCAGAATATGATCTGAAGAAGTGGTCTGGTTCATAAAAGCTCATCACCTAATAAACTAATAAACCTAATAAGCTATCTTGTTAAAGTGCTACATATTTTTTCCTTTTGTTTTACGATAATCATGAGTGTGGAATAGGATCATGAAATAAAGTGTAGGGAGATCACAGAAAGCCTCCCTCTTCCTCCAGAGCAGACACACAACATGGAGCAGCTCTGAGCTTAAAACAGCGGCAGCTGTGTGCCTGAGGGTCCTGGCAGAGTGGTCCGTGGGCAGGTGGCTTGGCAGGCCCACTCTGGCCAGCAAATTGTATCTTGCCCACCCCTGGTCTAGTCTGTAGCTCACTGGTTAGTATATGCTCCAGAGACATGGCAAATCCTTATTCAACTCCTTTCTTCTCAGGTGGAAGGGAACTTGAACTGGGATTCTCCCACATCCAGGTGAGCACCCTAACCACTGGGTTAAAATTATTCCTCCCCTAGGCTTCTTGCAAAAACAGCATAGGTGCCTAATTCTAAGAGCAGGGTTAACAACTGGGAAACCCAAGCAAATGGAGCAGCCCAGTTTTAGGTGCCAAACTGCCCAAGCAGTACAGGGTTTAGGACAACTCTTACCTTGGCATCTCTCATTGGCTGGGCTAGGCAGGGTGCCACTTAACATATTGGCTTGTGTGAATCCCACTCTCAGCCAATACCTCACCCCCTTCATTGCATAGAGTGCCCTGGTGCCTAACTCAAACCTCATGAATCAAGTTATTTTCTAGCTGTCTAAATATTTTTGTGAATATAATCCAGTGTTGCTACCATCTGATTAAGAATAAACACAACTAATAAACAAAATTTAGCACAAGTAAGACGTCTTTAAGCACCCTGTAGGTAGGTGGCACGTGATGTGCTGAAGAAACGTCCCATGTAATAGCAAATTGATTAAGAAAATTAGAAGAGAATTCTCTCTCCTTTCTGCAAGATGATTATAGAAAGAATCTAATTCACTATGAAATTGCATAGAATGTTATCCAGTTAATCAATATTGATATAACCCTTCAGAGTTGTGCTGTCAACAACAAGAGGAGCTGGGTTTGGAGGGTTCCTTGTGAATGCTTAAATACCATCTGCTCAACCTGCTACTCAGAAACCTGGGAACTAGCTGTACTACCTGTTGCTCCCTAGATAGCAATACTTCCCCACTTGCATACACTGATTCCACAGGACTTAAACTTTATGAAAGGGGGATGACACTGAACTTGAGAGGGCCGGCAGTCATTAATTTAAACACACTCCCTGCCCTTCCCCAGGAGTAGGTTACAACCTACATCTTTTTCTTGAAGTTGAGTGGGGCTGGTACATTCTAGTCACTTTCCTCTTCTCTTCCTCATAGTTTGTTATACTGGGTTGGTGGAGTCCAAGGATTCTAGCAAGTCAGTGCAGTCTGCAGCTTTACCATCGAAGGCAAGCCCACATAGGTAATTCAGTGTCACCCATTCCTTCAAAGCCACCTCTGCACCATCCAATGGCTTGTAAGGCACAAAATTTGTATCTGCATCTGTAAAAATGAGCTGTAGATAGCCACATCTGAGGATATAGTGGAGAGCTGCAAATTTGCAGAGTTGTATACTCATCACAGGCTACTTCATAGTTTTGGGGTAAAACCTGTTTTGGAGTGCTGGTCTCCCTTCTCAGGGGCAGACTCTTGGTTGCATAGGGAGATTGGGGGGAAGCCGGGCTCAGCCACTGCTCTGGGTTCCAGTCCAGGGACCCTATGGCAGTGGCAACAGGCAAGGTTATTGCCACTCCCAATCTGGCAGCTTTTCCTTGGGCTGCTTCCCCAAATGAGCCCTCCCAGCACCTTTCCTCTAGTTCCTGCGCCTCAGTCCTCAGCTCTTACACACACCACTCTGTCAGCCGACGGTCAGGGCAGAGAGAGAGAGAGAGAGAGAGAGAGAGAGAGAGAAGGTTTAATGTCTGTGTCTTTACCACTAGGACCGGGGTCCCGTTGCGGAGGGCAGCCAACAGGCTGACAGACGCCCCAGAGTTTACAAGGAGAGCTTACTACATCTCAGATTTCAGCTGCTAGGATACAGGATCCCTTCGCAGCGGGCACTCTAGGGAAGACTGAGAGATGCCCCAATGGATCTGTCCCCTGGGAGGGACACGAACCAAAACGCCCCAGCTCTTCCTATACCTGTCCCTGTATACCTGAAGTTCTTTTAAATTGTGCTTGGTTCTGTTACAGCAACTGAATGAGTCAGGTTAAAACTCAGTTTACAGGTTTATTAAAGAAACTTATAAATCATATGGTTACAATGGCTACTGCTCTATTTCTTAACTGCTAGCAAATATAGATCTTAAAAACGGTTACAAAGAAAATATAGAAAATAGAAATAATGGTACCAAGTGACAGCTTAATCTTTAAAGAGCTCTAAATCTATGTGTACACTTAAGACAAAGGGCACATCCAAGTACAATTTTTACCCCCTTCTGTACCTCTCGACTCCAGTGGGTCAAGCCAGGGCCGGAAGACGAAAATACGAGGTGGGCGTCCCCGTGGAACCTCGGGAGGTCAAACACCTAACCTAATGAACAGATAGATGGTAGATTGACACTCAGAGTAAGTGTGCTGCTGGACCCATCTTTATACCCATAGGGGCCCGTATCCTCTTTCTTATCTAAGATGCCAAATTGTACTGGTCTGTCTTTGTGGCGCCAGTTCTTACAAGGGAGTTGTGAACTTAATTTACACTTGTAAGAGAGAGAACTAAATTGGAAGTACTGGGCATTCTTTTCTCCGTGGGAGAGTCCTCTCCCAGGGACGACTGTGTGTGATCGTATCAACATAGGTGCTAGCCAGGGCAGTTCTCGCAGCCTCGAGGTCAGCTTATTGCCTTAATCGCTCTTTTCTCATATCTATGTTTTCAGCTTCTCAGGATCAGATGAGCCAGCATAGACTATGCTGATTTTATTGCTCCTTCTCTGTCCTGTATGCTTCAGGAACCTCAGAGAGGCAAATAACATGTGTGTGTGTGTGTCTGTCTACACACACTTCCTCCTTTCAGCCCTTCACTTTTTCCTTCCCCCTTCCTTACCTGGGCAGAACCTTTTAAAGCAGCTCCATAGGGCTTAATTGGCTGCAGGGGTCTAATTTGCCTGTAGCTTCCAGCAGGCTCTAATTGTCCCCAGGTGCCTACATGATAATGCTGCACTAGGCTTGGCTCTGTTAACTCCAGAAAGAGAACGTTGGTCACCCAAGCCACAGCATGCCTTTCCTCCATTAGTGTGTGCCAGCCAGCTGGTCTGGGTCTGTCACAACTCTTATCCACAAAAACAGGCTATGAGCATCCACATCTGTGGAAGCAGATACTGGTGGATATAAAGCACAATCTGCGGATTTGCAAGGCTCTTCCTGTTCTTAGCATCACATTAGCCACATTATATTAACTTCAGGTGGAATAAATAGGCCAAAGGTGTTTACATAACCTGTTATGGTCCAACACTAATGTGTATTAAGTAGTTTTGGGGTTTGGTAAACCAAAACCTCAGCCTGCTAAGTACCAGGCAAATATACCATTAAATGTTTTTTAAAAAATTAATAATAAAAATTTAAGATATTACAGCACTAAAGATTACATGTCCCCCCGGTTTCTTTTCTTTAGCTAGAGAGTTTTTAGAAGAAAAAAACCCTACCTTTGTTAACAGCCTCTTCCATGTAGTCAAACACGGCAATACGTATCTTTTGCATAAAAGATAAGAAGTTATTGGAGATAGGCTGGAGATGTTGTTACTTTTGTTGGTAAAGGCTGAGCTCATTTCATTTTAGATGGTGTTTGGGATTTAGATGGAGCCAGAAGAGGTACTCTGGCCTGGTCAGGATGACAAAGGCTTAGGGTCCCAGGAACTGGTGGTGGAGGTAGCCATTATGATGAAGCTCACATCAGTAGCCAATTTTTCTCCCCAAAGTATCTTTTTTCAAGGACTCAGAGAAAGTGGTGAGTGGACCCATCCCCTTGCTATTTTGTTCATCCGTTAGCCCTAGTTTCTGACACCAATTTTGACACACTGATTTCTGATTCCACATACTTTTCTTGTTTACCAGACAATCTTAAACACAGACCTTGCATTATATAACAGGGGCTTTTTGTGAGGACTAATTCAGTCTGTCTCTCTTCATACTTTTTCCCATTAACATTTGTTAGCACATGTTATGACAGCTAATGAACTTTCACTTTTTGAACAGTTGAACTCACAATTAGGACACATTCATGAACCTAATTATCACACTAGCACTCTGAACCAGATGTGTTGGTGGGTAAATCAGAGTGAGCACTGATGCCATCCTCATCAGTCCTCTCCCTACTCCACCTGATACCTCACTCCAGGCATGTTTGATGTAGCTCCTGTGTCCATTTATCTCCTCCCCCAAAAAAACTTTCACAAGAACATAACGGAACTAGAAGAGGCCCCATACTTTCACAATGCACATAGAGCCTCTTCCACTCATAGTCTCTTGCTTGTCAACAGATGCTGGCAGAGCTCACTCTCAAATGGAGTTCTCAGGCAGCTCTCAGGCACTCTTCTCCCTGTTCACTTACAGGTGTCAACAGTGAAGTCCCTGCTCCAGGCCATTTGGCACCAGCACATTTTCAGTAGAATTGCTAGACATGGAAGTGTAGCTACGTGGGGCCTGATGAGTTTTTCCAATGGTTACTTACCTTTGCTCTTAATATTCTTTGGCTTCTTCTATTCTGGATTTATCTGGGCTCAACTTTCAGTCACAGGATCTTGTTAGCCATTTGTTGACTAGATTATTGTTCAGGAAATGAGTTCTAGGATGTGTTTGAGACCCCCTTCAACCTTCAGGAATAAGAAATAATGTGAGTAGAAACTGCTCCCCATAAGCTCTGATATGTCTCCTTGATAGACCCTACCTGGAGGAGAGCTTGCATCTCTTGGGCCAATAAAACATGCTTGTGAGAAGAGGCTTGGGGAAAGAGGATGGGAGGGAGGGAAGGATGGAAATAAACTGGAATGTGTAACCTTCTACCACCACTCTCAGCACCCAGCAGCAGAGATGACTGGTCAGGCAGGATGCAGGAGCCACATGATCCACCCAGCCTGGGGAAGGGCTGGGATAACCCCCCTCCAACCCAGGCCCCACCTCTCCTTGCCCTGCTCTATTACTCTTTTCCCCCTTGCTTCTTCCCCCAAACAAGGCAGCCCAGGGGAGTAGTGGGGCTGGCGGGCTGATGCCAGCAGCAGGAGTCCATCCCCTCCCGGTACTCACTGACAGAGGCACAAGCCTGCTTTGCTCCCACTGTCTGTGTCACTCTGTTTCTTGCCGGGGAAAAGTTTTTCCATTAAAAGCATTTGCGGAAAAGCGTCCGTGCCCATCTAGACGCGGTTTTGCACAAGAAAGCCCCGATTGCCATTTTTGCCATCGGGGTTTTTTTGTGCAAAACAGTTTTTAGCTGTCTACACTGGCCCTCTTGCGCAAAAACATTTCCGGAAAAGGGCTTTTGCCCGAACGGAAACATCAAAGCATTTGCGCAAGAAGCACTGATTTCGGACAGTAGAACGTCAGTGCTTTTGTGCAAAATCAAGCGGCCAGTGTAGACAGCTGGCAAGTTTTTGCGCAAAAGCAAGTGCTTTTGCGCAAAAACTTGCCAGTCTAGATGCAGTTCTGGAGTGTAGCATTGGAAGAGCAAAGCACGATGAGGTTGCCTTACTCCGCTTCCCCTGCTGCTGCTAGTATGTGTGGGGGCTGGACCCCTGCTGCAGGTGCCAGCATTCCCCACCCCTGCTTGTCCATTGTTGGCTGTTGGCCAGCTCCTACTGTGGATTGCATGTGAGGCACATGACTCCTCATGCCCCCACATGTGCCATCTCTGCCTAGCAGTCTGACGTGAGGAGGGACCACGTGGGCTGAAGTGGGACAGATGATTTAAAAACAAACGGGTGGATAGTTCTCCATCAATGGCTATTAGCCAGGATGGGTAGGAATGGTGCCCTCTGTTTCTCTGGAAGTGGGAGACAGGGGAGGGATCACATGAGGATTCCCTGTTGTGATCTCTCCCTCTGGGGCAACTGGTATTGGCTACTGTCGACAGACAGGATATGGGGCTAGATGGACCTTTAGTCTGACCCAGTATGGCCATTCTTATGTTCAGTAAGTTGTATAATATCCTCAGACACCCCATCAAAAGTTCTAATTGGAGCCTCCTGCGTAATTGGCTGAAGTGGGTGTGGATGGATGTCTGCATTTATTACCCCAATTTCACTTAATCAACTCCTTCCACTGCAATAGAGTAGGGAATAGGACTGGTTGTCGAGGCCTGAAGTGTTTCCTTGAAGGCGCATGAGCATATAGACTTAGTGACTTGAGAATCAGAGGGGTAGCGTGTTAGTCTGGATCTGCAAAAGCGACAAGGAGTCCTGTGGCACTTTATAGACTAACAGATGTATTGGAGCATAAGCTTTCGTGGGCAAACATCCATTTCGTTAGATGCAAGAACAAGAAGCAATGGGCTTAAACTGCAGCAAGGGAGGTTTAGTTTCTAGCCTTTGCCCACGAAAGCTTATGCTCCAATACATCTGTTAGTCTATAAGGTGCCACAGGACTAGTTGTCGCTAGTGACTTGAGAGTGGCTCTGGAATCCTTTAGGCCATAAAGCTTTGCATCTGTTTGCTCAGAATGAAGTATCTTCAAACAGAATCTTGGATGGATTGCTGGACCTCTGTTGGTAGACCTGAAGACTGGAGCCATAAACACATGCGTTAGGGATGTTAAAATGCGTGTAATTAAGTAACTGTGTAAGCACCGCAAATTTTAAGCTGGTCCCCATGCATATTGGGAGCCTGTATGTAACCGTGAACGTTAACCTATGAGTCCATGCTCATCATTTAACTGTGTACACATTTGCATTTTCACATCCCTAATCTGCACATGAACACTGTGGACAAAAATCTAACAGTGTGAGAAGTGCCAGCTAGCTATATACAAGTACGCTATAAACAGTCCAAACTGAGAAATTAAAGCACTGTGCTAGGGAACTGAGGGAAAAGAACTAAGCTAAGACCACAGAGTAAATCTTCGTCTGCCACTGGCACTTCCATTGCTAGAACTCCCATTGCTTCAGGGTGTAAAAAAAGCACCCCCAAATGACAAAAGGTTTAGAAGAGAAAAGTGCCATTATGGACAGTGCTTCCTAAGCAGGAGTCACACTCCTGGCTACAAAGATATTGATCCCAGTGACAAAGATAAACACAACATACCTTACAAGGTGCAACTGCCTACTGGATCAGGCCGTCTATGAAAGTGCACACAAAACATAGCCTAAGAGTTCGCAGTTGGTAAGAAGGAACTGAGATGGTGCCAGGCCCCTTATAAGCATATGGTAACAAAGGGTGCTCAAGCTGGCCCAATGGCTACTACTGAGGGAAAATTTCTCCAGCAACTGTGTACATGGTGCTCAGGCATCTAACATGGATGGATACGAGCAAGCACTCAAAGAGATGTGAACAAGTGAGAAGGAAAAGGATTGTATCCTGCCTGACAAACAAATGGGAGAAAAGATTCATGAAATTAAATCAAGTACCCCTATCCTTTCAAAACGCCTCAGCAAAAACAAGAGAACATATGCCACTCAGGATGAGTAAAGAAAAAGCAGATTAAAAAAAACACACACACAAAGGAAAAGTCAGTAAGAGACAAAAGCTATTTTCTTTTCTAAGAAAAACATATAATGTAAAAGCCCCACTAAGAGACACTTTAAAAGTGACTAGTGGTGGGGTTTTTTTTTTTGAAGGAGGTTCTCAATAATTAAGATATGTAAACCAAGATACTTAAAATTACTGAGCATCTAAACGTCTCACCCTGCACCCAAAATTGCTTGTCATTTCTTAAAACGTAGGCAGTAGTGTTTTCAGAGCTTTAAACAGAAGGCTTTTTTACTTTTGGTTCTTGTTGGAATCTGATGACATTCTCAGAATATTTTATACTTCCAGCAAAAGGCAGAGAAACCCATAAAAACACACCAAAATCATTTTCTTTACTAATCCAGTACACAGCCAAGATGGATTTTTTCCACAATAGGCTGTACATGGACAGATTCCCAAATCTACCAGTATTCTGCAGTCCTTTGTTATTTCACACATGCTTATTGCTTGCCCCAACATTTAACCTGCATTTAACTACAGTGAACTTCATGGATCAAAATAGTAGTTTTTCAATATCCCTCCATCACATCATTGCTCATTATTTACTGTCCCTGCCAATTTATCATTTGCAAACTTAATTTTCTTAATTCTACATAATTGTATTTTAGATGATTTAATTAAAGACTCACAAAATATGTTGTACAATAAACTTTATTAGCTGTTCTCCTCTTTCTGACAAATGGAATGGATAATATTTAGAGTTCTTTTTAAAACACAGGTAATGTGGCTGGGAAATGGCAAAGAGGCTGTCAGAAGCACTTTTTTTAATGAACAACTGATTCCAAATGAACCACGAGCAGGCACCAAGCAATGTTATTAATAACTGGAAAATGTTTTATTATTGATGCTAGTTCTGTATTGCAGACATGTATTTGTAATTGCTCACCTCAGAGGCCCGTGTCTCCAGTACCAAGATGCCATGGAAGAAATGACACAGGTGCAGTCTAAGATGTACATAAAAACTGACCATCGACTCTGAAATCTCCCATTCATTAAACTATGCACATCACATGGAAGTAAAAAAAGACAACCATCTGAAACTGTTTGTAGAAAAGAGAACTTGCCCATATTTATTCTCAGAGCTAATATCTCCCAGATGTGTTATTCAGCCACCACACCCCTTTTCATTTCATACGATTAAAGAAAATAAATTCCATTTTTTATTTATTCTCAAAAAACAAAAAAGAAAAGTTAGGAGTAGGTGGGAAAAGAAAAAATATTTTATATGTATGTGCAACTATGTAAAGAAAATAATTCCCATAGTTACAAAGTTTAAAGTTTTATAACAAAATAGGCAGTTATTATGGATAAAATATTAAAATTTGACACCCTAAAGAACACACACATTCAAACTACAAATCTGACATATCACCTTAATGATCATCCCTCACTGCAAATGTTTTGTTTTACTGCCAATGAAAATTTGCATATTCCTTTGTAAAATGCAAGCTTCTCTAGCACCGTAACTTTTTCTACTCAGAAAAGAGTGATGGCCATTATCTATAAACAACATTTGTAAGACACTGTAAATAGTGCTGCATGAGTAAGATTAAAAACATTAAATATTCTTTATTCCTAGTAATTGTATATGCAAAAATGAATAAAAATAGACTATAAGAATATCATTATGAAATTTTGAAAATGAATATCCCTTCTGAATTAATGAAAGTTAATTAATACATTAATTTGGAAAATAAAGTTACATTAACTGCCCGTAAAGAAAAATATTTGCTGTGACTATAGAAAGTCAACCTGCAAATTAAAACTTAAAATTAAATTCCTTGACCAACCCATGCTATTAAAATTAAGCGTGCAAAATTGCTCACAATTTACATAATTGGGTAAGATGATTTCTCTTTCATATGTTATGAAATTTTAAAAGAATGTATATAAAGCTTTTCCGAAAATCTCTGAAAGTTACATTCCCTTAAACATTAAGGAATTTTACCATATAATTCCTCACCTCTACCCTTAATAGCTGGTCAAGCCATTTGATCTTCATGTTGGAAAAGTGTATGTGCGTGCGCGCGCGCACACACACATACACACACACACACACGGCTCGACAATCTATGTAATCTACTCGTCCATGGCGAGTAGATTACAACCCAGAAGAGCTGGGTTCGGGTGATCTGCGCATGCGCAGATTGCCAGATAGCGCGGCTGGAGAGCAGGGCTCGCTGCGGCTCGGCGAGCTGTGTGTCTGTGTGTGTGTTAATTATAGGAACTGCAAAATGAGATGTTTAGTGCATTTTCCCACATTGGAAAGAGCCAGAAGCAGGCTCCAATGAAAGGGGTTACAAGTTGTCACATGAGTAGATGATGTCAGCTAGAAAAATGAAAAACAAAAATCTCTTGATTTTTCATAATTTTTCCTTTGCTGGTATCCAGATATAAGGCCCAGACTGTTCTTCTATGATCTGTTTCACATGGTTGTATATCTCTTCCAGTGTGTCTCCTTGGACAATAGCTGCAAAACAAGTCAGAAGTGTTTTATTAGTAACTTTCATGCAAAAATTCTCAGCTCCCTTCCCAGGGTGAGGATTTAACCAGACTGGACAGGGAATGGACAACAGGATAAAACGGTTACTTACTTCTGTACCTGTTGCTCTTCAAGGTGTGTTGCTCATGTCCATTCCATGTAGGTGTGTGCGTGCGCGGTGTATGCACGCGGTGTCAGATTTTTTTCCCTTATCAGCACCCGTCGGGCCAGCAGGGGAGCCGCCTGGAGTAGAGCCAGTATATTGGCCAATATATACCCCTGCTGCTCCTCTACCCCCTTGGTTCCTTCTTGAAGAAAGGGAGGCGGGCAGGATTTGGACTGGACATGAGCAACACATCTCGAAGAACAATAGCTACCAGGTAAGTAACCGTTTTTCTTCTTCGAGTGCTTGCTCACATCCATTCTATGCAGGTGACTCTAAAGCAGAAACCCTAGGAGGCAGGGTTGGAATTCTAACCTTCAACTGAGCAGAGGACAGCCCTACCCAGGACTGCATCTTCCCTAGCCTGGTGAGCCAGTGCATAATGACTGGTAAAAGTGTGGATCAAAGACCATGTGGTGGCCCTGCAGATGTCCAGGATTGGGACTTGAGCCATGAAGGCTGTGGAGGAGGCCTGGACCGTAGGGGAGTAGGCCATGATGGGAGGAGCTGGTACTCCAGCCAGCCGATAGCACTCCGCTTCCATTTAGCCAGATAGGTGGCCCTGGTGGAAGGTTTCCTACTATGCAGCAAGACTTCCTGTAATTCACAAGGAGATCTTCTGTGCAGACTGGCTGCCCCTTTAGCTGTTCTGCAGTTCCTACAAATTGCTGTGGAGACCTATGGAAGGGCTTTGTTCTTTCTAAACAAAAGGCTAAGGCTCTCCTAATATCTAATGTGTGTAGTGCCTGTTCTTTGCCTGAAGTATGGGGCTTTGGGTAAAAAAATGGGAGAAAAATGTTCTGACACATATGAAAGTGACACCCCATTTTTGGAAGGCGTGGTGGGGGCGTAACTGGACCTTGTCCTTGAAGAATACTGAATATGGGGGGGGGTCTGATGTGAGATCCCTCAGTTTGAACATGTACCTGGCTTATGTGATAGCCACCAAAAGGACACCTTCTAGGAGAGGTGCAGTAGTGAACACGTTGCCAGGGGCTCGAAAGGGAGCCCCATGAGCCTGAACAGCACTAAGTTTAGATCCTACAGGGGGATAGGCTGACACACATGCAGGTAAAGTCTGTCCAAACCCCGTAAAAATCTCTGGACCACGGGATGTGTGAAGAGCATCGTGTCCCTAGAGCCCGGGTGAAAGGCGGAAATAGCTGCCAGGTGAACCCTGATAGGACAGCCCCTGGGCCCTGAGGTCAAAGAGGCAGTCCAGAACCAGTGGGACCAAGGTGTCCATGAGGGAGGTACCCTTCTGAGCAGCCCAAATGGAGAAGCGCTTCCATTTAGCCAGATAGGTGGCCCTAGTGGAAGGTTTCCTACTATGCAGCAGGACTTCCTGCACCCACTCCAAGCACTGGAGCTCTGCTGCTGTCAGCCATGGAGCTTCCAGGCCATTAGGTGGAAGGACCGTAGGTTCGGGTGGCAAAGCCTGCCAAAGTCCTGAGTTACGAAATCTGAGTGCGGGAGGGTGGGAGGGGGAGAAGCAATCGACTTCTCGCATTACATGTTTAGCAGGGATGTGAACCAATGTTGTCTGGGACAAACTGGCACTATGAGAATGAGGGCGGCCCTGAATTCCCTCACTTTCAGAAGCACCTTGTGCACCAGAGGAAATGGGGGGAATGCGTAAAGCAAGCCCTTGGGCCAGGGGATAAGGAGCGTGTCTCCCAGAGACCCCCTGGCACATCCCCATGAGGGAGCAGAACCTGGAGCACTTCCTGTTCTGCCATGTTGCAAAAAGGACTAGGAAGGGAAACCCTGAGGGACCATTTGTGGCAGGCTCAGCTGGGCCGCCAGAGTGTCTGGGATTCAAGGGGGACAGGATGCAACTGGGTTAACATCCACCCCGGTGCAGAGTTCCTAGAGCCGGAGGACTTCCTGGCACAGGGAGGAGAACACGCCTCACCCTGCCTGTTGTGTTGTCAGACAGGATGAGGATTGTCCTGCCCCTGAGGCAGGGAAGGAAGGCCTGGCATGTGAGGCCAACAGCCTACTAGCACCTGGATGGAGGACAAGACCCGCGCAAGCCAGTCATCAAGGTAGGGGAATACTTGGACCTCTTGCTTCCTTAGAAAGGCTGCCACTATGGCCATTTCGTGGAAACTCAGGGAGCCGTAGAAAGCCCAAAGGGGAGGGCTGTAAATTGGTAACAGTCTGGGCCAACCGTAAAATGCAGAAATCTTCTGTGATGGGATGTGATCAAAATGTGGAAGTAAGCGTCCTTCAGACTGAGGGCAGCATACCAGTCTCCAAGGCTGAGGGAGGGAATGATTGATGCCAGTGTCACCATCTTGAACTTGGCTTTGGCGATGAAGGCTTTTAAGCCCCTGAGGTCTATGATGGGCCAGAACACCCCCCCTTCTCTTTGGGCACAAGGAAGTACCACGAGTAGAACCTCTTGCCCCGAATTACTGAGGGACCACTTCGGCGGTTCCCAGTCTTAGGAGCTGTTGCACCTCCTCCCAGAGGAAATGCTAGTGAGAGGAATCCCTGAAGAGGGACGGGGTAAGAGGGAGGTGAGAGGAAGGAGATGGCATATCCCTATCCCAACTGTCTCTAGTACCCAACTGTAAGAGATGATGGATTCCCATGCCCAGTAAAAAGGGAATAGACCATCTAAAAACTAGGGAGGTGAGGCTAGTATGCTGTCCCCTGGCACACCCTCAAAACCCTTGACATGTGCCCTGGGACATGTTAGAGGGGCTCGCACTTGGTCTGATGAGAGGCGGGAGCGATGCCTACTATTTCTCCTGCTACCATTTCTGCCCTTATGGTAGGAGAAATCCCGATGGGCTCCCTGTTGGGGAGGCCTAGGGGCATTTTTGCCCAAGAGGGAGTGCCTCTGAGGGGCAGGCGTGTGGATCCCTAGGGTTTTTAGGGTGGCTCAGGTGTCCTTAAGGCCGTGCAGATGATGGTCAGAACAGGAAGATGCCTTCGAAAGGGAGGTCTTGGATAGTGGTTTGGAGCTCTGGAGGTACTCCAGACACCCACAGCCAAGAGTTACAGTGCATTACTAGGCTCATGGCCATGGTGCAAGCTGCCGTGTCCGCGGAATCCAGGGCCACCTGGAGGACCGCTAGGGATATTACTCTGCCCTCTTCTAAGAGGGACTTGAATTTGGGGGGGGGGGGGGTTTTGTCCTTAAGGCCGTGCAGATGATGGTCAGAACAGGAAGATGCCTTCGAAAGGGAGGTCTTGGATAGTGGTTTGGAGCTCTGGAGGTACTCCAGACACCCACAGCCAAGAGTTACAGTGCATTACTAGGCTCATGGCCATGGTGCAAGCTGCCGTGTCCGCGGAATCCAGGGCCACCTGGAGGACCGCTAGGGATATTACTCTGCCCTCTTCTAAGAGGGACTTGAATTTGGGGGGGGGGGGTGTCTTGTGGGAGCAGCTCAATGAATTTGTCCATTGCAGCCAAGGTGTTGTAAGCATAGTGACTCAGCATCACCTGCTGATTTGCTATGTGGAGCTGAAGGCCCCTGGAGGATACGCCTTCCTGCCCAACAGATCAGCCTTCTTGGCATCCCTGTTCTTGGGTGTTGCGCCCGGCTGTTCCTGCCTTTCCCCTTGGTTAGCTGCCTGAACCACTAGGGATCCCGGAGGGGGATGAGATAAGAGATTCTCATTCCCTTCTTGCAGGTCAAAATAATGGCACTCAGCCTTTTTATCGGTAGGCAGAATGGAGGCCAGGGTCTGCCACAGTGTCTTTGTGATCTTTGTCATGGTTTTGTTCACTGGAAGGGTCACCCTGGCAGGCACATTGGCTTGTAGAATATCGACAGTTGGATCCGAGTCGTCTGACACCTTTTCAGCCTGTACCCCCAGATTCTGCATCAGGTGATGGAGAAGGTCCTGGTGCAACCTTGAGTCCAGGGAGGCCATAGATGGCAGCACGCATTCACGAGCCTTGTCAGGGTATGAAGAAGACGACCCCTTGAGGCCTGTCACCTCCATTGCGGGCCTGCGAGGGGGCCTGGGAGACCACAGAGGATGCCAGCATGTGGGGCAGTGATGAGGATGGCCTCCTTTGACCAAGAGTCTGGGCAAAGGCTGCCCCGGGGCAGGAACTGGCCCAATGTTGGGGAGCAGGTCAGTGAGGTTGCCGATGGAGGGGCCTGGGCCCAGAGACTTCAGACTCCTGGCTCTGGTGATATGCCCAGGGGGTCCTGACTAGAAGCCTTCCACTGGGGTGGCCAGAACTGCTGTGCCAGCTGCACCAGGGTCGGTTGTGAGTCTCAGAACTGTTGCTGGTGTCCAGAGTACCCCAGCATGCTATGGTGCTGGCATTAGGACCTGTGCCTTGACTTTGACCTAGAGCCGTGTGATAATGCGGTGGACTACACCTCCAAATTGGTTGAATATTTGGAGGTTGACCAGGGCAGTACCGTAGTTGTTGCAGTTGGTGACCTATGCCCAGGAGCGTGTCGAACCATAGACTCCAGCTTTCCTTGGTGCCAGGGAGGCGGCATCATCAAATGCAACAGTGCTGGCCTGCTTGCCACTGAGGATGGGGCACATACACCGCCAGTGCCACACGTGCGTCCTGGCTCAGTGCCAGAGTTGGTACCAGTGGTACTGCTGCAGCAGGTGCCGAAGTCGAGGTCAATAGCACTGGGGTGGAGTGATGGTGGACCCTCACGTCAGGTGCCAGAGCTGGTGGTGCCGTGGATGTGGCCCTGTGCCCCTGAGCTTGATGCTCTTTTGGCAGGCCCGGGGATGAGTTTGGGGATGAGGTAAGCTCAATGAGGTCCCTCACAGCCTCAAAATTGTCTGGCGTCGAGGGCTCTGGAAGGTCCTCTACCAGGCTTGAGTCCTGACACAGGCTGGAAAAGTGCCAACCTGACCTCGATGGTCCAGGTGCCAATCATGCTGGTGAAACGTGACCCTCCACCCCCTCGAGGGCACACTAACAGCACGTACCTCAACAGCGACCTGCCCCGGCTAGGTCTCCATATCTTCTATGCTACTAGAGCCGGCTGGTGCCAAGGCCTACGTGGCTCTGGAGAGGCTCGTGAATGGCTTGGTGCCTCCTGCACTGAAGCCGGTGCTCTGTGGGTTGTTGGTACTGGCTCCGGTGCCGGGTGGAAAGCCGCTTCCATGAATATGATCTTCTCATTCTTGCTTGGTCTGTGGCTTAAAAGCCTTACAGATCTTTCAGGCCTCCGACAGATGGGCTTCCCTGAGGCATTTAAGGCAGGCTTCTTTAGGGTCCTGGGGGTCTCTGCAGGGCATAGGCTTCTGGCACTTAATGCAGGGCTTGAAGCCTTTGGCCCAGGCATGCACGCCAGGGAGCTCTGCACATTAACAGCCACTTAAACTATTCACAACTGAGATACGAACTAACACTAACAAACAACAGAACTACCGACAGGTCAGAACTGCTGGGAGCACTTGCTAAGCAAGAACTGAGCAGATTCCAAAGACTGTCCGGAGCGGACAGGAGGAACTGAGGGTGGTGGAGGGCCAGCAGCAGCGTATATTGACCGATATAGCAGCTCCACTCTCCAGGGGGCTCCCCTGCTGGCCCAACAGGTACTGCTAAGGGAAAAAAAACCCTCCCAATGACAAATGTACGCAGTGCCCACACACCTACACAGAATGGACATGAGCAATCACTTGAAGAACCACCTGGTTTATTGTGAGTAAAAGGTGTTAAAGTCTGTTCAGAGGCATAGGGCTTCCCCAAGGCCTTGAATTGGTCAGTGTACACTGTATAGCGTTCTGGGATCAGGAAGGCATTCTTACACACCATAGACTGGCATGTGCAGCTTTGTTACCTATTTTGTTTTTGTTTTGTTGGGTTTTGTTTTGTTTGTTTGCCTTCCTCAGATACCTCTGAGGGTTAGTTTGGGTTGATCTGTTATTTTCTGGTTTTCTTTTTTTGTTTTCTTCTTGTCCCACCTTTTGTGTAATTATCCAGGACAGGAGCTTAAAACAGCAGGGCTAGTTAATAATCCTAATGCAGACAAATAAATCTTTGAGATCAGTTACAAGTGAAATGGTGGTGTGGGCTTCTATGTAATGTAGAATGAGGAACTACTCATCTAGATCATGAACAAGGAAAGGAAAAATAGGTCATCTGGTGGATTCTGGTTGCTAGCAGTGTCCATCATTTGGGATTGAAGGATGGGGCTAACCAATGCTATTTCTCTAATCCTCTACTTCTGATGCTTGCTTTAAAAACAGTTAATAAAGTTGCAATCTACACTAAAAAACAACGAGGAGTCCTACGGCACCTTAAAGACTAAGATTTACTTGACATAATGTTTTGAGGTTTTGTGAGTAAAAAAAACCAAACACATTTTCAGTTGCATCTGTTGAAGTGGGTTTTACCCATGAAAGTTTATGCCCAAATAAATCTGTTAGTCTTTAAGGTGCCAGAGGACACACCTCATTGGTTTCGCAGATACAGACTAACATGACTGCCCCTGTGAGATTAATCTACACTCAGATCTTATCAACTGTATATATTGTCACTAGGGATAGAGAAGCACTATAAATGAACTGAGGTGGGTGTGTTCTGACTCAAATCAGATTAAACTATGGTCTGATGTGACTCAGGACTAGATAGAGTTCTTAAAACATTTTGGATTGAAATGACAGGAATCTTGACTACAGCTTCATCTTAATTGTGGTCTTCACCTCCAGGGCTGAGAACCCACGTAGTAGAGTTCAACAGGAAAAAAAAAAAGTATAGTGCTGCCATTTGTGGCAGGACACTGTATTCCAACATGTGTGTTAATACACACATTACTACCAGTACTATTACTGAACCATGATTACTTGCTAATTGCCTCTTATTCCACTTCCTAGCTCTTAAAACATTTTAAATCTATGACAGCATTTTACATTACATAGTAATGAAGCTTAATGGCTGCTCTAATTCAATATACCACTAAAGCTCAGATGGTTCTTATTAATTTTACATGGTCTAGCCTGACCTTTGGTCTGTTCCAGTATGGCCGCTCTTATGATTACAAAGTTATGCCTTCTTTGTAAGCACAAAGACAAATACCACTAGCAAAAAATATATTCATCCTTTTTTTTCTGTTACTTAGCAAAAATATTTGATGAACAGTCACTATTCAGAGCATCCCCTGTCAATATGGTGTCATAGGAACCATACTGGTTTAAAATTCCTTGTGATACTTGTACACAACTCATTGTACATGATAGGTAGTATTCCTGGATAATAGCTAAAAGTACCTATCAGGATCGAATGTATTATGCAAGACAATATATAACCACATAGGCAGGGCTCGACAAATCTGTGTATCAACTCGCCATGGGCGAGTAGATTTCAGCCGGTTGCCCCGTTCACCGGCGGCGTGCGCATGCGCAATGCGGATCTGGCGCATACGCGGTGCAGGGCTGGCAAGTGGATTTCACTGTGGTTTGTCGAGCCCTGCACATAGGAATACATGGTCCTGCCCCAAAGAGTAGTATTGCACGTTCTTTCTGATTATGTTTGTTTTATGAGTTTTCAGTTTAGGGGTTGAGTCATAGTACGCAGTTATGGAAAAAACACGCTATTGTGAATCCCTCCATCGGATAGTATGGGATTCTGGATTCTATTTTTAGAACCACCTTCTATTATAAAAAAATATTTTTGTTTTTTTTGTGGGGGAAGGGGGAGACATTCTAAAATCTCCATTGTTTGCAGCCAGGCTTTGATATCTGACAAGGGGAAAGTCCTTAGGCTAGAAAAACACTTTTTCCCCTTTGCTCCTTGAAATTCCATTCAGGTTGAGCTGAGTGACCAGCAAGGCAAACTAAACACTGAACTCACACACTCTAAAAAACCACTCACGCCACTGCCAAAGCAGCAGTCTCTCTCACTGGGATCTGGTGACACAACCGGGTAGAGTATATGACAGCAGGGAGACAGGAAAGAACCTCTCCCCATACTCCTGGATCCTGGCACATGGATCCTCACCTCCCAGGGCAGCATGTGGGGGGAAGAGTTCCCCTATATCTGAGATGGAGCGGGAAACATTCGGACTGGGTTTCCTCAAATCTCTTGGATCTAGCATCCTATCCACTGACCAGCAGCTATGAACTTAAACACTTCTAAATCTGCAAGACTGGATTACTTGCACCCATGAACATTAAAAGAATTGACAAGAAGAAATTTCTGAATGATTAAGCTTGATTTTAAGCAAATCGTGAAACAATGGAAAAAAGCTCCAATGTTCTGCAGCTCCTAGGTGTGAGCTGGATTGGGGGGCCTAGTCCCTCTGTGTGTGAGGTTCTGGATGGGTGCTACTCCTCTGCATAGTAGCCAGGATCGGTGGAAAGTGGGAACGGCACAATGGTCTCCCTCATCCCAGGCAAGGGTGCTAACCATTGGGCTAAACGTTATAAGGTGGATCAGCCACCACTTCCATATTCTCTTTCATTTTGAATGGGATCCAGTCCTGTAGGTGACCTTTGAGCATGGCTACGGAATTAGGCCAGTCGTGTAAGTGGCTGAATGCCCATCTTTCCCTGGTTTGTGAATCATTTGAGGGATGAGGTGGGAGGCAGTGGGGTGCATGCTCAAAGGCACAACCACTGTAGGGCAGCATCTAACACCTTCTCTTTACTGCTACACAACGTATGCCTTATATTTAGGTGAGCTGTCCTGAACAGATGCTACCTACTCTTGACTATTGCCCAGTGGTGGGCAATAATTTTTTTGCCAGGTGCCACTTTAAAATTTTTTTGCCCGGGCCACACTGGAAGGGACAGAGCCTCAAGCGGAAGGGGCAGGGCCAGGATATTTCCCTGCTTCTCCACCCACAGATCATGATTGGTCCGGGGCTGGGGAGCGCCTTTGCCCTCCCTGAAGGTTTCCCATGCACACCCATGCCCCTGGCGATGCGAGGAGACTTTGCGTGCTCCCCCTTCTACCTTAATTTCCTGGTTTTCAGAGCTTTAGCCACCCTTCACTTTCTGGAAAGGCATGAGATGCCAGTGAGTAACCTTTATGTTAAAATTCTCAGGCTTTCCAGTTTCAACAACTAGTAAAACAGGAAAAGTTCTCATGCTCTCACCAGCTGAAGTAAAGAAGAAATTGTCTCTCCGTTAAAAAATGAATTGATACAAATATTTTTTAAATAAGTACAGTGCAGTCTGATGATTTTTACATGTTCTAAAACATTCATCATAGGCCAGTTATGGAGACAAAGTACATAACTGAAGTATATGGGCAGAGTCAGGTACGACAATCCCACTCTTTGAAGAGAACCGTAATGAGGGATACAAACCTGTGAAATGTTCCGTAAATTCTTGCTCCAGTTTCATGGCTCTCTCAAAGGTCTTTCTGGCTTGCTCCTCTGTTAAACGTTTGTTCATTTCCCTGCGATGAAATATATTATGAAAAAATAAGTAGTTACCAAATACTGCTGAGTCTTTTGAAACAGGATTATTAAACTGCCTCCTGAATATTAATCTTAGGAAAAAAAGTAGTCTCCTCCTGTTCCTGAATCTATGATTTATAAAACTCTTGAAGGGAGCCTGAAGTCAAAGGCTACAATGGGAGTGCAGTAGATTGGCTTGCCGTTTCTTGGCATCTGGCAAAGACACTGGGGTTAACAATGAAATCCACTAAGCAACCTCAATATAAAATTATAGGTTACATTCCATACCTGTAACTGGAAGTTCTTTGAGATGCATGGCCTTTGTCTACATTGCACATGTGAGCATGTATGTACACCATGCACCTTGAGTCCGCAAATTCTAACAAGCAATATCCATTTTGCATACGTGTAGGATCTCGCTTTGTGTTCCAGCCAGCACGTGTAATGCATGATGCCGAAGATTCACATGGTAGTCTGGTGGGCACTGACAGGATAAGATAGAGGTCCTGTTGAGGTATAAGCTTTGGGACCTACAAAGGTCCTTCATTAAATTAACCACTGTAGGGTAAGTAAGTGAAAATGGAGCACCTGTCTACTGGAGGAAGAAAGGCACCGACTGTTGCAAGACGGACCTTAGTGAGCTAATGAAGAAATCCATGTTATTTAAATAATAGTAGATAATCTAAAATGACTGGGATACCAGCAGAGTTTGAGGAACACTGATTATGTTGAGCCTAAAAAAATAGAAAAATGTTTCCTTTAGGTTGGTAGCAGTTCCTAGTTGAGTCTTTCTAACTGTGAATAAGAATGGCTTGGACAGCTGTTGAGCAAGAGAGTTCTAAATGCTCATCCAAACACAAGGTCATGAGGTAAAATGGGTCTGGATTGGGATGTCGGATTTAGCTCCCTTATCAAGTAAAGAGAGATGGATAATGATAGATTTTAGCAGTCTCAGAAGTTTATTTAGGCCAGTCCTGGGCAAAATACAGCCCATGGGCTGGATCCAGCCTGCCAAGCCACTGGATCTGGCCCGCAGAGGCAGTGGGGAGCCCCAGACAGGTTCTTCTGCTTGCCCCGCACACCGTGCAGAAATGTAGCTGCAGGGCTCCATTTCTGTTTGAAAATTAGAGGGGAGGGGGGAAGTTTCAGGAGCTGCCTCCTTCCCAGCACAATCCTATTGGCTGGTTTCTGGCCAGAAACCAGCCAATGTGAGCTGCTTGTTGGAATAACAGGCATTAAAAAAGAACCACGCCCCCTCACCTCCACTCAGTTATTCAACGAAGCACATGGCCAGGCAAGCAGACAGGCTGGCTGGGAAAGGTTTTAAGCACTGCAAGCCTTAGCTCTTCAGGCAGGCAGGCTAGTTTGCCAGCTGAGAGGTAAGTCTCTTGGCCACAGCCTGTTTCTGGCACCCTACTCCTTTATTTCCCCAACCCTCTGTCCCCCCCCAACATACCCAAACCATCTGTCCCCATCTTACTCCCATACTCCCTCCCAGATCTGGTATCCCCGTCTCCTGCCCCAGACCACACCACCCTCCTACCCTAGGTCACATCCCAAACCCCTGCAGTCCAGTGCCCTTCCCTATGTCACAACTGCCTCCTTCACCCAAACTCCCTCCCAGACTCCGCACCCCAATCCCTTACCCAAGCTCCCTTCTGCACTGAACCTCCATCCCAGACTCTGCATCTCCTCCATTAATATCATGGTAGAATGCATCCCTCAACCACTTTCCAAAATCTTGGATTGGCTCCCTGTCAAAAATTATTGCCCATACTTAATTTAGGCTGACTACTCACAAAACTATCTGTCCTTGATTCATTTATTGCAGGCTATGTTTATTTCATCCCCATTTTTATACTGGGATAGTGTTTGTGTGTCCCATTCTTTACTGTACCCATACTGTTTACATATATTAATCCTTTAGGATTTCCTGTCCATCTATCAACAGCAATTATAATTGGCACATATGCATTACTACAGAAAATCCTTGACATTTGCAGTATTCTGAATTCCTTTTTCCACTAATGTGATCCAGATAAATGTGCTTTTTAACAATTCTGATTACTCCCCCTGCTTTACCTTTTGTATTTACTGTATTATATATATGAGTTTGGTACCATATATGCTGCATTTCAATTGTGTTCCCACATCCATCGCAAATGGCTAAATTCGTGAATACTGAGAGCAGAGGCTTCTTGCCCGCTGTGGTGAGCTCTCTGCAGCTCCAAACTCACTGCAGCAATCTGTCTAGATAGGCCTGGGTTCAAGTTCCATGGTGGGACTAAGACTTGGACTTTTCAGTTAGAAAAGAGGAGACTAAGGGGGATATGATAGAGGTCTATAAAATCATGACTGGTAGGGAAAAAGTGAATAAGGAAAAGTTATTTACTTATTCCCACAATATAAGAACTAAGAGTCACCAAATGAAATTTATAGGCAGTGGTTTGAGCATTGGCCTGCTAAAGCCAGGGTTGTGAGTTCAATCCTTGAGGGGGCCATTTAGGGATCTGAGGAAATCTGTCAGGGATGGTACTTGGTCTTGCTGTGAAGGCAAGGGACTGGACTCGATGACCTTTCAGGTCCCTTCCAGTTCCATGAGATAGGTATACCTCCATTAAAAAAAAAAAAGGTTTAAAACAGACAAAAGGAAGTTCTTCTTCACTCAGTGCACAGTCAACCTGTGGAACTCCTTGTCAGAAGATGCGGTAAAGACTAGGACTTTAACAGGATTAAAAAAAGAGCTGGGTACATTCAGGCAGTTTAGGTCCATCAATGGCTATTAGCCAGGATGGGTAGGAATGGAATCCCTAGCCTCTGTTTGTCTGGAAATGGGTGACAGAAGAGGGATCACGTGAGGATTACCTGTTGTGTTCACTCCCTCTGGGGCATCTGGCATTGACCACTGTTGGAAGACAGGATACTGGGTTAGATGGACCTTTGGTCTGACCCAGTACGGCCATTCTTATAGTCTTATGTTAAGGGACCCACCCGTCATGTCAAGGGAGAAGACTGTGGCCCTGCACTGGGGGACAGATGGTGGAAATGGCCACCAGATGCACCTTAAGAGAGGAGTGTGCCAAATCTGGGTTCTGCAAATAAAGCAGGTAAAGACCGACTGGATTAGGGCCTTTGTCAGGGAGATGCCACAGACCACTGCCCAACGTACCAATCTTGACCATTTGGCAGTGTAGCTTTGATTAGAAAAACGTTTCCTTCTCTCAAGGAGGAACTGGCAAACGCTCTCCAAGCAGGACTATTCTTTTGGATTCAGCCTTGCGGTATACACGTTGTGAGGTGCAGAGATGTGAGGTAGGGGTGGAAGGGACGACTGTGCTCTTGGGACAAGAGGTCTGGTTGGAACAGCAGCCGCCACAGGAGGAGCACTGCAAGGCTCAACAGGGTCCTGAACCAGTGTTGACAGAGCCATGCTGGAGCTATCATAATGACCATGGCCTTATCCTTTTTGATCTTCTATAGGACCTTGCTGATGAATGGAAATGGGGGAAATGAACAAAGCATATTCCCTGCCCAGGATCAGAGGATAGCCTCTGAGAGGGAGCATGCACCCAGGCCCTGACTGGAACAAAACAGGGAGCAGCAGCAGTTCTGCCTGATTGTGAACAGGTTCACTTGGGGAGTGCCCCACCTCCAGAAGACTGTGTGGGTGACCTCCGCATGCAGTAGCCACTCATGGTGAGAAGAGAAGTCTATGCTCAAAAGGTCTGCAAGAGAGTTCAGGGATCCTTGGAGGTGATAAGGCCCCGGATTGATATCATGCACAATACAGGTATTCCATAGTGCGATGGCCCTAGGCTCTTTCCTGTCTGTTGATATAAAGCATCAAGCTGCTTGTATGTGAGGACTCTATCTTCCCTCTTAGGTGGGGGTGGAAGGCCTTGCACATGAGACACGCTGTCTTGAGTTCTTTGACATTAATGTGCAGGCCCATCTCTTCTGGGGATCACCTGCCTTAGGACCTGGTGTCCTCTAGATGGGCTCTCCAGTTGAGGTCTGATGCATTCAGTATCAGCTGGACAGCAGGAGGGCAGCTCTGAAATGGGACTCTGTGCAGCACAATCCCCAGAACTGTCCACTGTTGATGGGAGGTAAGTATGAGATCGTTCAGTCTCTGGATTGTGAGAAGACCAATGCCAGCTACATTTTCAGGGGATGCATGTGGAATCTGGCATGACGGATGACCTAAGTGCATGCCACCATGTTCTGTCTGTCATAACTGGGATCTGGGAGACACTCACAGTGAATTCTGTCAGTGTCTTGAAACCGTCCCGGGGAGGGATGCTCTGGAGATCTCGGTGTCCAGTACTGCCCCACTGCACTCTATTCTCTGTGCTGGTACTAACATGGACATTTTGTTATTCACCAGCAGGCTTAGGGTGCTGCACATGGACAGGAGGAGTGCAATATGGCTCCATACCCGGGACCTGAAGCTGTCCTTGACCAACTCATCATTGAGGTATGGAAATATTTGGACACCTAAGGTAAGCTGCTACCACCAACATGCACTTGGTGAAAACCCTTGGAGTTGTTGAGTGGCCAAATAGGATAGCTACAAACTGTTAGTGCTCCTCACCTACCATGAAGTGGAGGAAGTGCCTGTAGCTCTTGAAAATGGAGATGTGGAAGTACATGTCCTGAAGGTCAAGGGCAGCATACCAGATTTAGAGATTCAAGGAGGGGATGCTCGAGGAAAGGGAAACCATACGGTAGTAGGTAAAGTACCGGGAGTAGAAACCCTTGTTCTTGAACTCCACTGGGACAACCTGCACTGCCCCCAAGCAAAGGAGTTGATGGGCTTCTGTTCAAGAACTTGTTCATGAGAAAGGTCCCTGTAGAGGGATGGGAGTGGGCAAGTAGGAGTGGAATAAAGTAACTGGAGGGTGTAACTCCTGGAGATGATGTTGAGAATCCAGAGAGAGTGAACGCAACAGATAATGGATGCCCATACTGGGAAAAAATGAGGAAGTCAGTTGGAGAA